CCCTATGTACTTAAAAAAGGACTTCTTGTTGTCCTTAAAGGACTATGAGGGCACCTTGTCTCGGGGTGAGAGGCCAGAGCAGGGATGGGACGTGGGGCTGAGGGCTCGGAGCCTGGCCGCTCCCCATAGGCCGTAATAGGAGCTGGGGAGCGGTGGCAGGGCTGTCGCCTTGTGTAGCCTGGGCCCAGAGGAGGCGACTCGGGCAGGGAGTAAAGACTGGTCTCATCCAGCAAGGGGTGCTGCTTCTGCAGCATGTGGTGCTGGGGGGAAAGGGAGTCTTTGGCTTCAACTCTACCCGCTGCTAGCTGGGCCCCCGCAGCATCGCGGAGCCGTCATCCCCCATTAGGCAGTGTTGCCAGGCTGGCTTTCTCATGCCCTCCACCGCAGGAGCAGCACGTGCCGTTCGGGCAGGGGTTTCACTTCCCTTGACTTTGACTCAAGGACGCCGTTCTGTGTCTGAGAAGCAGCAGGCCTGGGGAAGGCAGCGAAAGGGCGCGTGGCACCTGGCGAAGCTCAATGTGTGGTCTCAGATCGGGCACGGAGGATCCTGGTGTCTCGGAGGGGCAGGAGTCCTCAATCCTTCAACCTGAACCCAGGAGGGAGTGGGAGCAGGGAGCTGTAGCACTTCCCAACCATTCGGGCAGCCAGAGCTCCGACCGACGGTGAAGCGTTCTGTGCTTGTGTGTGTGGCTCGAGGGCAGCACCCAGCACCATTGCCCCATGTCGCCAAGCTGCAGGATGCCTACCAGGCTGCAATCCAGGCCAGGAAGTCAACTGGGAAATGCACCTGATTTCTTTCCAAGACATCTGGTGGCAGATGAGACTTCTGATCCTGATGTTGGGTATTAAAGCAATTGGCATATACTAATGAGAGGCCAAATCCTTGTGATATAAGGAAGAGAGGCATGGGCAGAAGTGAGGGCTGGGTTAGGGTTTGCAAAAGGCTGGCTGTTTGCAGGGCTGGAGGTGGGGAAAGAACTGAAGGGCGCCCAGTTAAAAATGCACGCAGACAGGCAGAAGGAATCAAAATTCGTGGTAGATGTGATCAACTAGATTTTTGCAAAAAAAAATTATTTGCAACCTGCGTACCTACAGACAGACAGGCAGGGCCAGGCGGCGGCAAAGTTTGCAGGACATGCAGCAGCATCAAAAATGAAGGTGAGACGGGACCTCAGGGGGTCACATCTAGCCCAACCCCCTGCTCCAAGCAGGACCAGCCCCAACTACATCACCCCAGCCAAGGCTTTGTCTACCCGGGTCTTAAACACCTCCAAGGATGGAGAGTCTACAGCCAGACACTATCATCTTTTGACCACCTCAGGTGCCTCTGTGAATGTTGCAGTGTCACCCGCACAATAACAACAGGGCGTTGTGCTTGGCACGAGCAGGAGGGACTCCCCGAATCCGTGGGCAGACAGGGCTGAGATGCACGTCTTCCACGAGGCCTTTGGCTCAGGATGCTGGACGGAGATGAACAGAACGGGAATGTCAGGGTCAAGCTGAACGCAGCGCAATCGCTGATGGCAGATTCAGAGAGACGAGTGACCGCCCCGTGGTAACAGAGAAAATACCAAGGTTTGTTTCATGTAACAAAACCCATCCAGAGCCCACGTGGGGACAGTATGCAGCTGTACCGGGGCAAGGACACAGCCATTCACTCAGGTTGGAAACAGTGGAATGAAAGCCAACACCTACGCTTGCCTTGAAGAGCCGTTGACAAAGGCTTTGGCTTACATGGAAATGTTCCCTGGATGAAGGCAGAGCTTCATGGCTGAGCCTTTGAATGGAGATCGAGGGGTTCTAGCTCACTTTGAAGCTGAGTCCCCACCTGCCTTCCTGACCAGTCCCCACCACCTATTTACTGCCCTGGAAGCAAGAGGGCTTCTCCAACAGTTTGGGGGGTGTTCGACCAGCTCCCGCATCTACCTGAATCCTCCAGAGAATTCATGTTCTAGGCAAAGCCCCGGTACCACTGGGAAATGAAGGAAGAACTAAACCTGGCTGGGCATTAAAAATAGATGTTGAGTGCAGTAGATGATACAGGGTAAAAATACAGTTGGGTATTTTGAGTGCCGAATTCTCTCCTCACCACTGAATGGAAGTTGTGAGTGGCCTTGAAATACAGCACAGCAAGAAACCACGGCACCCCAGGTAGCTTGGGGTGTGCTACACAGGTGAGAGATGGGTGCAGGATGAATGCTGACTGATGCTTTTGCTAACACTTGGTCTCTGCCCTCTGCCAGGACCAGGCCAAGGCCCTAGATCCAAACTGCACCAAGACTCTAGATCCAAGCTACGCCAAGACTCTAGATCCAAACTGCGCCAGGACCTTAGATCCAAGCTACACCAAGATCCGAGATTGAAACTGCGCCAAGACCCTAGATCCAAACTACCCCGGGAAATTCCAATCCAGAGGCATATTGTGGCTCCACCTTTGCAAGGGGAGTTGTACCACTGATTTCCTAGCATGTCCTCAGGCATGCAGAGCTAAGCATGTGCCTTCACGTCTGCTGGATCAGGTTCTTTGCATCCCTCTTGTGTCTCAGGGACACAGGCCAAGAATAACAAGCACAATACAAAGAGTGTGTGCATGGGTGTGTGTGTGGAGGGGGGGGAAGAGCTCTTACCCATTTCAGACGCTTGATGCATTGTCTTGGAAAACCAGTGCCTTTTCTGATTCCAGCAAAGCTCCCAGGGCTGCAGTGAAGGGACCAGGCCATTGTCATATTTATTTCTAAAGAGCAATTCTAGAGGGCTGAGGTCTTGTGGCACCGACTGTGCCGTCCTGGAGTGTCTTCTCAGGCACAGCCATGTTAATGAACATTGTGACAGCCCTGCAGCAAAGATTATTAATCATGTTGGGACACCTCACATCTTGGCAGCCTCGCTCCTGTGAGAGTTGTAAAACTGACTGCCACCAATAGTCACAGATTGCTTATCCCCGTTTTACAGAAGGGCAAACCAAGGCAGATCTGGAGTCTGGGCTCAGTACAGGAGGGGCTAAATGAAATGGCATGGCCTGTGTGATGCAGGAGATCAGAGAGGTGAGTTACTGGGTGGCATCTGGCCTTAAAAGAATCTATATGTGCTCAGGTGACAGCTCCTGACTCAGCTCTTGTGTTGCACCCACAGGTGCCACATGAACAGCAGATCCAGCTGGACTCTGCCAACCTGCCCAGGCCAGAGCCAACCCACCCAGTGACCCTCTCATTTGGTCAGAAGGGCCCCTGCATGCCTGGTACTCAGTATAAACTGCTCCTGCTTTGTCCTCCAGACTCACCTGCAGTTTGGAATAATCACTGATTTATTTTACTGCCGTGCACAGGGCAGTGGGGAGGGAAGGCTGCACGCGGCCGAGATGAGAGCACAAGGAGTGTCCATCTCTGGATTGCTTAGAGTCCCTGCTCCTGGTGTCAGGAGCTGTGCAGACACCTG